TGAATATTTATATGTGTATCCTAATTCACAACTCAAATATTCTGATTTGATGATTTGACATTCTTAGGAATAGAAAAAAAACTTGATAAACATGACCTTTAAGTGTTGCCTCAAGCCCATAAAATGTCAAACAAGACCACATTTAATGCCAAAATTCTTAATCAATAAATCTATGAGACTTGATTAATACCTTGTAGATATATATCAAAATTCTTAAGCAATAAATAGAAACTTAGTAAATTATTACAGTAAAATGTATATACAGTGTCAAACAAGACTACATTTAACGCCACACATAGCCGCATAATGACAATCATGTCATTGTATAAAGTCATACATGCAAATGCATAATGCTAAACCAAGAGATAATGCCAAATATGACAATATATAGTGGCACATTTGGCAATGTAAAATGACAGATATGCCAATGTATAATTTTACATATAACACATATGTTAATGCATAATCTCAAAAAAGTTAAACATCAAGAAAACTCTATTTGCCAACACAATAATCATTTAGTTTCAATATTTGTTTTACAAAATAATTTTCTAAGAAGTAAAATTAGATTTAAAACCAAATGTCACAACCTATGTGAAATTGAATATAAAATTGATTAAAAGTTTCAAACTCACGCAAGGATAAAAGAATTAGTACCAATTTTACAAAATAATTCCTGAAAACGTAAATTTTTAGATTTAAAATTGAATTTAACTACTTATGTCAAGTTAAATATCAAATTGAATTCAAACTTACCTAAGGGGACGGAGGCATCCGAGCGATGAAAAATAGAAATGATGGAGAGGGATGGAAGAAGATTGTGTGTATGAGAGAAAAGGAGATGATGGAGAGTGCGGTGGAATCATTACCGCATAGAGAAGATGATACCGGCGGAGAAGAGATTGAGATTAAGTTGACAGCATCAGCAACTGAGATTAAAATGAGGGAGATCGTAGAAGGATGAGATTGGGAAGGGGCCGAGTGACTTTTTCGACCGCATAGGGCTAGGATGTGGTGTGGTTAGTGCGAAAGAATATATCAAAACAAAATTTTAATTAATTACTCCTATTTAGAGGAGTTTAAGTTTGAACTCCTATTTTGAGGATATGATATATGTTTTACTTCTATTTAGGGGATTTTCTTAAATTTTTACTTCTATTTTTCTAACTTCTTCAGCGCTTCCTCCTTAGGTTTTCCCCCTCAGTTCTTTACCTCCTCTCGCTGATAATTTGTTGTGATTCAAGGATACAAGATTGTTGGAACATTGGTGGAATCTTGTGGATCTATCTGCTTGCATTTTAAAGAACAATAGGTACCCAATTGGAGAACGAGAAGAAGAAGAAGAAGGGCCGATTTGAGGAAGAGGTTACACCTTTTATTTTTTTCTAATTTAATTCTATATATTTGTAGTAGTATTTAATTTTAAGATTTTTTACATTTATAGGAGAAGGCGTTCATGGCCAGGTCGGATAGTCATGGTGTCCGGTCATGACAATGAAGGGTCAAATTGTTCTTTTGATCATTTTTTCTAGGTATCCTCTATAATTTTGTGGCTTAATTTATAGACTTCAAAGATAAATTTTCACTCCAAAATCACAAAAATCTTAGCACATAGGTCTGGACCTGTTGTGTTTGCTATTTTTTCTACTTTGTTTCGGTTGTATTGTATTGTTGTGCACCTTAGTAAGTGTTTCTCAAGGTCCAATGCATCTCCACATCCCTTTTCAGTTTGCAGATTTGCACAGGCAAGGAGGGATCACAACATGTTCGATACAATGTCTAAGTGATTCCCTGGATGAAACTCTCAATTCTGGTACTGCTATATGGCACTCTAGAAGGTTTCTAATACACCTAAAGTGACCCTGCTCTTTTGATGGTTTGAATCATGCTAATTTATTCCCAGGCCACGCTCCCCGTGTTTAGTTTTGTTAGTATTTAAATATTTCTATGACTACTCCAAAAAAAATTTATGATTAAAAAATTACAGTGCATCATTGAAATTACACCAATGTTTTCTTAAAATGTTTAGAGAAACATTCTGTATTAACCCCTTCAAGCTACCCCCGAGTTTACACACAACAACTGTGCATTCTAGGAATGAATTTGAGCTAATAACTTTGGCAGTCACACCTTATTTTTTTCTTTTTACCACCAAGTCTGTTTTTCTTTAGCTTGATTCATATGTTTGCTAATCTGCTTCTTCTTACTCTTATTTTTAACTTATAGAGAGTTATGTTTTAGTGGTCATATAGTGAATGTGATGATGCTATTTCATTCTGCTACACGATAGTTACCAACAGGACATTACCGCTAAGGAGCTAAAGTGACAAGGTTGGAGATGCCACACAGGTTACAACACTTGATTATCAGTGATTTGTTGCCTTAAGTAAAAAATACAATGTTGAATCTTTTTCATAGTTGTTGGATGTTTGCTTACTCATAAAACAGATTCTATCATACCAGAAACGTTCATCAAATGCATATGGATGATATCCCCCATTTAATTTGGTCTATCGGTATGATTGTTTTTTTTTTTTGAACAAAAGTGCAGCAGTGAGACTGACAAACACTCTAATCCTCCTATTTAAAGCAGCAACAGGGAAAAAAGCTGGAACTGTTCTCACCCAATCAAAACAACACCGTAATTCATTCTTCTTCTCTTCTGCGGAGTGTATGGTTAAATCTTTACGTGACCAATTTTATCCTCATTGCTCAACTGTTTCTTGCAACCTCAAAATAAGCCATCTTGAGAACGACTGAGATCTACATAGGAGCAGAGGCGATCAGGTTAAGTTGTCAGACTACCGATGTACAAACGATGGAGCATCCTTCTTATGATTTTACACATATTGCTGTGTTGTACCATCACTGAGGAGAATGCAAGGTTTTTTATGCAAACCGTTACTCTTGAAACTGTCACTCAAATGCTATATCAACCGTCAATCCACTATCACTCGCATAAGGAGGAGGGATGGCTATGTCATGCTAGGGTTTCAACTCCGATGATTATATTCAGGCAGCAAGTCCTGACTATGACATAGCATATGGCCAGGATTTAGGGACAACCTTTTATATTGAATCTTCTTTATATGTATGGGAGGATTTTCCGTGCTCTTCCTCTTTTCTTCGTTGTAGGGAGAATGTCTTTGGTTTTAATTCTTGCCATAGGTCGTTGACATCACACTAATACAACAACAGTGCTGCCATTTTAAAGTGGTATTTTTTCTGCTCTTAAATTCATTTTATAATCTAGACTTCTCAAGCAACCTATGAATAAGAATTCCTTTTTTCATATTTAATTTTACTCTTTTGTGACGTTTGAATATGATTTATATACATGATTTGATAACGTTCAAGTAGAAATGCAGATTTTAGGTGCAAATATTTCTGCCATTCATTGAATGCATCTGATTTTTGAATATATTAGATGCCTAAAGTTTGAAAATATCATAGTAGATAAGTCTTAAAATTGTTATACTCCGTAAATATTCAGCTTTAAGTTGCTGTGAAAAGCCCTATGATCCTTAACCTCAAAATCTATGATATCAATAGGCTTCATGCTTTTTTCTTTTTTTTTTCTTTTTGAAATACTAAAACGATACTACTGACAAGTACTATAATTCGGTGTTCTTTCCCAGATCGATGTAGCCTTTATGGGGGTGACATGAAAAGGAGAAAAATGGGCAATCATCAATTCATCATCATCATCAAAACAACAACGAGTCATTCTCACGTTCCCAAGAAAGCTTTACTAATAAATGTTTTACGAAGAGCCTATTCGATCCACCACAAAGAAAAGGAGACATAAAGAGGTACCTTGCCATTCATTTTGTAAGGCATAATCAGTATTCTTCTTAAGCTGTTGTTCCTGCCACCATTAGTGACAAAGGAATATGTTGGTGTCATGATAGGGATAATTCTACAAATCTGAAACCTGTTGAGTTGTATGATTTATTTTTAATAGTATTTCATGATGTTATGTATATTGATAAAACACTAAATACAACCACAAGTGGGAATCATATTGAACAATACACGTTTGTGGCTTGAGAGTTGTGGACTAGCGAACTCTTTTATTAGTGAAAAGTTGTTCAAAGTTTGAGAGAGATAAAAAGGAGGGAGTAATTGGTTTCATCACACCTATCTCTCTTGCCTTTTCTCTCCGGAATCCACTTCTGTAAGGGTCCGTTTGGTATACGGAATTGATGGAATTGGAATTGAATTGGAATTGAAATTCCATGGGATTCAATTCCATAGAATTGAATTCTGCCAATTTCAATTCATTTTTTGCTTTATCAATTCTAAATCCACATAATTTTTGTGCTACCAAACACCAGAATTGGAATTGATGTCCTCAATTCCAATTCCATTGCTTGAATTCCGTGTACCAAACGGGGCCTAAGTGTAATTGGTTTCATCACACCTGTCTCTCTTGCCTTTTCTCTCCAGTTTCCACTTTTGTGAGTATAATTTTCTGCAATAATTGCTTGGGTTAAGACTTTAGACTATTGTATTGTATAGTCATGGGTACTATACTCTCTAAACATTTTATCTTGCGATTATATTTCGCACAGGAAAAGACGATGGTTTGACTGACCGATCTAGGCCAGCAACCCCACCAGTAGATCTTCTTTTGCTTCTTTCAATGTGGACGGTGCCGATCAAGGCTACGGGTCTTCTTTTCAAAGTGGTAGCGAGGTAATGATTCTTACATTTTGGTTTTAATTGTGTTAAAGATTCAATTTATAGTGTCTTAATAAATTTATAAATACTAACACATTTAGGTTATAATTATATTAAAGCTTTCATTTTCTCTTCATTTATCTGTTCTTGATTCATGTTGTGTTTTATTATATAATTTTGATTTTGATTGTGTTAAAGATTTTATTATTTCTGCGTTGTTCAATTCATGATTCACCATTCCACCTCAAATGTGTTTCTTCATATTTTTTTTCAATGAGGAGTGCAGAGCACAAGAGCTATACAAGTTAGAATATGATTTCCTTTTTTATCCATCCCAAGTTGCACATTGTGCTCTAAACCTTCTCTCAGGAAAATCGGTCTTGACAATACTTTTGACTTCATTGTGCTCTAAATTTAAGCCATAATCATTTTGTTGGACCTATGCCAAAACCTGCAAAATTGAGAACTGTACAAACTATGTAAGTGGAGCACTAATGGGGTACTATGCGTGAAGCAAGGGGTAGTGGGATATTCTATTCTCAGAGCACGTTTAAAAAAAAAGCAAAATGAGATTACTACAATTCGTCGCTCCTAGAAACAGACCAAGCGTAATCATTTGACAAGACAACATCATCGAACTTCTGATGCTATTGCTTAGGTGTTTACTTTAAGCCATATAGTGACTTTTCTAACTTACACACTTTATGCTCATTTTTTGTCATAACAAACCCTTCGGTTTGTTTCATGTAAATCTCCTCTTCCAATTCAACATTTAAGAATGTTGTTTTTACATCCATTTGGTGAATAACAAGATCATGTATGGCTAGCTGCTAGGGTAATCAACAACCTAATGGTTGAAATTCTTAAAGCAAAGACATATGTGTCAAAGTAGTCAATTCCCTCTTTTTGTCTAAAGCCTTGTATAACCAACCTAGCTTTACACTTATCAATCTAAAGCCTTGTACAACTAGCCTAGCTTTTTGCCTAAAGCCTTGTATAACTAATCTAGCTTTAACCTATGAATGCTACCGAGGGTTGCCGCCCCCGGACCCCCCAACATGAATTTATAATATCATTGAACAAGTCCACGCTCTGCACCTCCTAATTCGATAAGCAACGTCTATTCAAATTCTTGTTTGATCTAAGTAAACTCAATCACACAAAATAATTGATGACACTAAAATCACCGACACGGCTTGCATTCATAATTTCTTTGTCCATGGTGCACTTTATAGGGTGTGGCACTCACTCCCTCCACAAAAATGATTCTTTATTTAATTTTCTTTTTGAGACGTTTTAAAAAAGGTTTCTTCTTTCTTTTTACAAAAAATATAAAGTGGCACACAATCTTTCTTTCTTCTCTACAAAATGGGAGTTTTTTTGGAGGGAGGGAGTATTTAGCACTTTTGGTGGTAGGCCTTAGTTTATGCCAAAACACTACCTTTTGATTTTTGGTTACCTCTTACGGCGGCACTGCACGTCTGTCTTGCAGTGAGTGCACTATTTACCACCCAAGTTTTAAGGCATAAACACAACATTTAACATTTCTAGTTATGAGATCTAATTTATGCATTTGGTATAAAAAAAATCTAATCGATTGAGAGGTGAGATAATACTAATATTATTGTTGTTGTCATTAAGAAAGAAAAACAGTAGGTGGTGGGGCCTGCCACATTTTTGGTGGAGTGTTCAAAAGGCAGTAGCCTTTGTAAGCTGGTCACGGGCAGAAAGAAAAAGAAACAGAGAGAAGAGAGAGGCCAAGAGAGGAAGAAGAGAAAAAAAAGGTAGCCTGGTTTTGTGCTTCAATCGACGACCAAATAAATTCCGATTGGTGTGAAATTTTAGTATTTTGTTCTTGACATTCTCTTCTTCATATCCAATTGTGAGATTGTTTTTTTAACCACTTGATGTAGGTAAAATTATCTGTGTTTGATGCTACTTTTTATTGGTTTTTCTCTCACTTTTGAGTGAAGCTTCTTGTTATTTGGTGTTCTAAGTTGTTGTTTGATGATTGTGTATGCCTCTAATTAATTAAGAGAAGATATTGGTTGATTAGTGGAAGGCTTCGTGTTTTTTTCTCAATTTGGAATTTCAACGTTAAATCTTGGTATTCATTTATTGTTCAATTGATTGTTTGTTGTTGTCTTTACTATTCTTGATCAGTCATATAAGTTTGTCGATTTTGACAAAACAAAGATGGAAAAGTTATTAATTGTTTCTACTAAAAAATTGAGGTGATTTTTCCAACAACATCTTCAATAATATGATTGCTTCAATAATATGATTGCATGCAAACTGGATTCCAAAACTAAACACAGAAAACAAAGAACAATACCCTCATTGCATGATAAAGCCAAGACATAGAAGAAGAATTTAATGCAGGGGTAAATATATATTAGGAGAAGCAGGTTGGACATGAGTAACCAGTATGCTTCACTATAGAAGCTAAGATAAACACCATTAAGTTTCAATGAAGTCAACTGGTATAATATTGCATAATAACCCAGCTGCACATGCATGGCTAAATGAGACAGATCAATATCTAACTTGACTAACTCAACTTCTTCACTTCTCCACAATGTCAGTGTTTATACATACATACCATGAGCATGGTATACACCGTGCATGATGTGTGGAGCTGGAACATTCTCTGAGGACAAAATGATTGGAGATTCAACAGTAACTCTGTCATCATCTTCTTTCGTCCATACTAAAGAAGCTGATATCAACCCAAAAATTCCAGGGAGTTGCTTTGTGCTCGGCAATGAAACACGTAGCGAAAACTCTTTTTCATCCCCGTATTTCTCAAATATCAAACTGTCTTTACTAGTCCTAATTTGAATGGACTCCAAATCTATGCTTAGAGAAGTGAAATGGACCATGACTTTTGGCTTGAATTCGCATCTTCCAACCTCCACACTCTTCACTTTTCTCTTAAACTCACACTCCCACACATTCTTTGCACGCGGGAATCTCGCAGAAAAATATGGCAAATTTAGCAGCAAGTGATTCAACTTGCCTTGAAACCATCCCGAATAGTTTGCCACAGTTTCTTCATAAATTAGACCAGGTCGCAAAGCTTTCTTTAAATTAAGCATGCCTGCCCCGTATGCAAACTCCCTGGCAACGGGGTCTTTCCCATGCATTTTTGTTGCTATAAAACAATGAAAATGACAAATTCAGTGCTGCACACATGAAGAAAATTTACAGCAACAAAATCAACAAGACAAAGTGAAAAAAAACTCTAATATATTTTCCATTCTATTTTGTACTCCGTAGTATATGTTATCTCATTCTTCTTATTAATCTTTATTTCAATAAAAAATCCCAGATTCAGGTAGCTTGGATAATCTAACTACCGGTACCTCAAATAGCACACTCTATCTAGGGATAAAAACTACTTATTGATGAGATGTTACTTCCCAATCTGAAATTCCAAGAGAAAGTGAGTTAATAGTGTAAGTTGTTAGAAATAAAAGGGTTGACTTGACTATATTCAAAGTGGTTTGTGTTTGTAGAGATTTTGTGTGTATTGCTGATAGTAGTTCATGCTTGTAGTATAAAGATTTAGAGAGAATGAGAAGAAAGATGTTTTAAAGAACTTAAAAACTTTTGTTATTTTAGACATCTGGCTTATATTACAAGTGGAGAAAAAGTCTCATCATTCATTTATTAAAACCATTACTTGCCAGCTAACAACTAACAAGTACTAACTAACTTCTACAACCTTCCACCAACTAACAACTACATGGTTCAATATCAACCAACAAGTAGCAATATAATTGTTCGTGCTTTGAATCATTGAAGTCCCTATTTCGACCTAATCATTTTGTCCTATGATCTAGAAATGAGGCATTGAAATACATCCATTGACAGCAGCCCAAGACATGTCAAATGGGAGAATTCTTGCTATCTTTTTACTGGTCTTCGAGGTATAAGTATGGTAAGAGTCATTTAGTTGAAGTCGTAATGAAGAATAATTGTTTTAGTTTAGTTCTCAGATGTTAATTACATTAATAAGTAATTATAGTTTACCTAGCTTACGAATATAATAAGGAATGTGGCTTTCCAATACATGTTAAGACTACTTATTAACAAGTTCCCTTTAAGTTTTCACAGTCTAGTTCTAGCCAAAACCAGAACCATTTTAAGTTTTGAGAGTCCAATTCTAGCTGCACGGTGAGTTTAAAGTCAAAACTTGATGTTTGCATCTACATCGATCTATATCTTTGGGGTGAACGACCATAGCCTAACAATACACATCAATACCATTGTGAAGACTTTTACACTATGTTTGGTTCAAGAAAATTGAAAGAAAAAGAAAAGAGAACAGTTTCCCTCATTTTCCTCACCAAAATGGGAGGATTTTTTATTGCTCTCTTAGTATATTTTGTCTTCTCATTCTTTTTTCCTTCCACTTTTCTGTTCTTTTCTTCTCTAACCAAACAAAAAAAATATTTTTCTTCTCATTTTCTTTTCTTTTCCCTCTCAAATTCCTTGAACCAAACACAGTGTTAATGTTAGGAGTACAATGGATACTATCAACAAGAACACAAAAGGCATATTACAATGCATTTACTGGGTTGTTGTTGTTTACTATTAAGAATTTTCAGAAAGGATAACAAGCATCTAACCTTGATCAACATATTTTGTTTGTGCAAGGATAATGCACTTATTGCACTAAGATTGATAAATTCATACCACATTAATATGTAAATAAATACAAATGAGACCCGAGGAAATAAAGTTTACCTGTAGTTATTACAGCTGAAATTGTCTCCATAGCTGAAAAGTTCGTTTTAGCTCGCAATAGGGCAATTGCAGCAGCAACTTGAGGAACAGCAAATGATGTCCCACTTAGGACATTAAACTCTGATGCTATATAACCATCGACACCTTTAAGTGGGTCATCAGTTGGCCACGAAGCGGCAATCATTTCTCCAGGTGCACAGAGATCAGGCTGAAATAGAGAAAATTAACAGGCATTGTTGTTGTTGTTGTTCATAAATCTCTGTCACAATTTTCGTTTCAGCCCCATGTCTAAATATAAAATATGTTTGCCCATATATTCTAGCTAATACTCTGTAGTTTACTATTATAAATGACTAAATGTACATTGTGTAGCATTCCCTAAGTAATAGTACAATATTGTGAGAATAAAATAATAATAATAATAATAAAGCCTATGCATAGAATGACCTTCATGAATTCTTTATAATAACTGCATGGCCCTCGGCTAGAAAAGGTAGACACCAAAGGTGTATCAGCGATGGCAGTCCTTGTAGACTTGATTTGAACCCACAAATCCCTGCAAAGTGTACTACTCAACACACATACACACACACACACACACAAAAGCAAGTCCCTGCTAATCATGATATTCTAAGGCTTGATAATTTTGTATAACAGAAAGATCAAATTTCTTCCAATCAAGATAAAAGGTTTCATGGATATGCAGCAAATATATTGTAGAATAAACATGAGCAAAAAGTTTGTCACTAATTATATTTGATTAACATGTGTGGGGAGCAAGGGATATGATGTTTAGACAAGAAACAAATAATAATTATTTAAAAAAAATATTAGAGGACAAGGAATCCTCTGTGCCCTCAGCAAGGGATCTAAAATATTTTGTAAGGTTACTTTTGTATATAGAAGTTGCATAGCGTGAGGAAACTAGACGTTATGAATTTCTTCCATACCGAATATGTGGGTACTGGTTGGTCTGACTTTATAATGATCTCAGTAGATATATATATATATATATATATATATATATATATATATCTGTGTGTGTGTGTGTGTTTGTATGTATCTCGCCTAGTCATTGCCTAGGCGTGCCCCTAGTCGCCTCGGCGATATGAAGGTACATTGGCGCCTTGCCTTGCCTTGCTGTCTTACAAACTATGCCAAGAACTAATTTTCAGCTCCTAACTAGATTTGTTTGCCACGACATATAAACAATATATTTGAAAAGACTAGTAGATAAGCTAGCTTGTTAAAGCTGATGGGCTAACTAAAAACTCAGAAGCACTGCTACAAGTTTAAAAGTTAGTTATCTCCAAAAAACTGAATTTTGTTTCGCGACAAAACGATAAGCTAACTTATAGTTTTAAAAATAAAATCAGCTAGCTTATAAACGAATAAGCTTGTTGAAGTTGCATCTCATCATAAACTAGCTTATCTTCTTATTTAAATTTTAAATAAAGGTACTTAGCAAACACTAGCTAAAACATCTAAGATAAGTTAGCTTGTCAAATAGAGCTATAACCTAGTTGATAGCTTAAAGGCCAAATCAATAAATTAAACGAACTTAAATTTTTACAGGGGTTTGACCAAGAGCTTCTGCAAGAGTGAGGTTCTCCTTGTCATGACGAGCTCATAAAACTAACTCAAAGCTAAAAAAGTGGTTAGGACATGAAAAGTGTTGTTGGTAGTTGGAGAGCTCGAAAAATGAAAATATGTGTTTGATATAACCAGCTCATACGCTAAATTATATTTAAGAATAGATAAAATAAAATGAGCTAGATCATGTTTTTGTAAGCTTTTTGTATTAAAAATGTGGAAAACCATTTTCTTCCCAATTCAGACCGAAAAAAGAGGGGAAACTCATTTTGAACACGAAGGCTTCAGAATATTCTCATTGTCAATCTTATATAGCTTTTTGTATTCAAAATGGGTTTCCTTTGCTTTCTTTACAGCAACCAAACATAAAAATCATAGAAAACTAGTTTTTCCTCGCCAATTTCTCTAATAGCCAAACAAAAGTAAGATTTTGATTTTTTGTAATAATTTTATTTTTGTTTCCTCCATAATTCCTCAAACCAAACATAGCATTAGATGGTGAAAATAAAGTAAGAAAATTTCAAGATACATACTCCTCATCCAGACGGTTAGAAATGATGGCACTTTGTTCCTTAGAGAGGTAGAGCACAAATAGAAGACTAGGAGCACCTTCATCGTCAATGGAACCTTTTCTAATAACAAAATCTCCTGAATGGTTATCACAGTACATAATGCAAGAAGAATCTTCAATGTTTCCATCCCTCCTAAAAGTTCAGTATAAAAAAATTAACATATAACAATTATGGACAAACTAAAGACAACAATTAAAACATAACAAAAAAAATGATCACCTCAACTTTTTCCATTCATTTCCTTGGAACGCATATAACGACTCGACCTATCAAAACAAAACATATTAATGTAGTAGAACATAAATATTAAATTAACACTGTGTACTATCTGAAATTTTACTAGTATAATAACTGTTGTAATTTAAACTCAAAACCTAGTTGACAGTTGGTATTAAGCTGAAATCTCAAACATGTATAAGTGATGTGGTATCTTACCTGAATTTCAAAAGAATTTGTCCTAGCTGAATTTGACTTGAATGTCAATGTGCTAATGAATTTGCTCTTTGAAGTACAAGAGGCTATGGTCAGGCACCATGGAGCAGCTTTTGCAATATATTTCAAGTGGTTTTCCCCCAAATTTCCAGCACTAACCACCGTTACAATATCAGCTCGTAGTGCTTGTAAGGACGCAATATCCTTCCCATGAAAATCACCACTTGACCAATCACACATGAAAACTGGACTTCGTGCTAAAGACATCGAAATCACACTCACTTTTGTCTGAATTGCAGCGTTGATGCCATTAACCATATCTTCTTCTTTCATTGTCAAACAAGAGGGACAACCAATGGCATACAAGGCAATCTTAGGTGGAGGTGAAATGCCTCTAAGATCACCCAAGAAGAGTTCTCCCAATTGTGCCCCAGGAATTTTTTGTGAAGCAATTATCGAAGCACAGAAGAACCCATGTGCATTTATCCCAGCATTTAATGGCTCACAGATATTCATCTTAGAACAATTAGCACATACCCTGGTAAGTGCTTGGTAATTGACCACGCCTCTGGAAATTAAACAAGCAAAATGGAGGCTCGTGAATTCTCTATCGTAAGACTTGTATAAGAAAAAAAATGTCATGAAACTCACGAGAGGTTATTCAAAAATGTGAGCTCCTCACGATCGCAAACATTTGACGTTCTGCGACATCCATCCACAACCGCTACAACAGTATCAAGAAAAGCCCCGCCTCTATCTTTGTCCACAGGTATGTCCAGGAAGTCGTACGACTCACTTGTACAAAGCTCAACCTTATCCTATGTAAACACAAACAAGGAATGCATGCTAAGTTTGCATATTCAAAAGCATGATTACGTAGAGGCACAATCTGTGATGTTTATCCGTATAAATTTAAACTCATAACCTAAAAATAAGTACATCGAATATTATAGTTGAGAGTCAGTCATAACCATCCAATTTATAAAATGCTTCTAAGGGTGCTCTTCTCCCTTCTCTTGCTTCTTACATTCCTTTTCTTGGTGTTCCCTCTTCAAATGCTCCTAAGCTAAGACGCTAAATGAAATCTTAATATCATTCTGTTCCAAAGAAAAACAAAGTCCACATTGTGCTAAAGTCCCACCTGGAGCTGTTCATCAATGTTCTCATCCACATTAAAGATGGTCTT